CTCGAGCTGCAGAAGCGGTGAGCTCGGCGGGCCGGTACAATGCGGGCGCCGGGGCGCCGGGTGGGGGCGCCGGGGCGCCGCGCGTCCTCCATCAGCGGGGCGCGGCCGGTGCCCGGTCGCAGTCAGCTCAGCACCGCTCAGACTCGGCGGGGCGCCGGCACGCTCCGGTGTAATGTTTGGGTACACCCTCCTGGCTCCCGCACACCCTCTGAGCTCCTGCACACCCTCCAGCCTCCTGCACACCCTCTCACCTCGGCCTCCCAGCGCGGACAGTGCCATCTCTCGGCGGGGTCCGGTACCGCCGCGCGGACCGAGCCGCGGTGACAGGGGCCGGGAGCGCCGGGAAGGGTGACGGGATCAAAGGGCCGCCACATTCCGATGACAGGAACCGGGCCCAGGGGAAAAGTGAATCGGCGAGCAGACTTCAAAGGCGCTCTGCATACCCAGAGGAAATTGGTGTTTGGCATGCCCAACCCGGATTTAACGATTGTCGCAGCAACAGCAAGCTATTCTAACTGTTGTTTTGATAAACATTCCAATCCGTGAGCATCACAATCTACAGTTATTTTTCTTGCTGCCTGCCCGCATGGAGCATATAATGAATAACAATTAGCCTTTTAGGGTCGGCGACGAACTACATTTACCAACAAATTACAGCAAGAACAGTCAGTACTGGCATGATATTATGTAAAAGCGTTGCCAAAAAAGTCGATGCTCTCGCTACTGCCTTTATATAAGCGCATTATAAAAGGTATTCAAAAGCGGAGTCACGGGCCACCGTTGCAGGCCGAGCGCCGTTGACATTTATGCTGTGGGGGCTGACAGCCGCGCCGATACGACAGGGCGGTCGCTCTGCAATCCCCGTCGGTCACCCGTTCGTTGGTCACCGGTGCCGCCGCGAGCGGTGCGTCCCCGCCCCGCCGGTAGCGACACAGTCGGCAGAGTGGCGCCTGCTGGGAGCCGGGGATTGACCGCTCGGCTCCATCCAACGACGGCAGAAACATCCAGTGTGCCGCGGCAGAAACCGGGCTTTATACGGGCAGGGACCGAGCCGAGACGCTAAGCATATGAGGTGTGGTGTCCCATTCCTGCATTCATAGCGAACAGCGACCGAAGCCATTGCCGTTCGCTCGTTCGTCGCACATGTACGGCAGTTATGATGGCAGTTGATCGTCAAGAAAGCGCCGCGATCCTCACTCCTTGCTCGTCTCTCGGATCTTGGGTTGTCTGGGACGACGGGACTAAAATTTAGAGCATAAATACATTCATCATATACATTAACTAGGTATACATCACGTTCAGCTCTGTTCAGCCAGACACATTTATGGGTAAGTTCAACAATTAGTTCAACTATTTTAGGCACCGTGTACGACATAGTGATGTCAATTCTACGATAAATTTAGGCGATGTGGAACAGACTCCTCCTTCATATACGCCGGCGCCCTATTGGACGCTATACTCTCTGGACTCTATCAGAATAATTGGGAACCGTCGCGAGAATGTCGTCTGACATATCAGCAGCACGTCAGCGATATACCCGGCTGCCGATATCTCGCTGATGTCGATTGCAATCAAGCGACGGCTGATATAAACTCCGGCACAACCGCCAATGTAGGTCCCTCCCCCGATGCCGGCTGTTTGCGTGTAGAAGCGACCGTCACAGGGCGGCAGAGACCAGATCAGCCGCTGACCGTCACTGCTGGAGGTCACCCACACTGAATACCGGAAGGAACACGGCGGCGACAGCGCGCCACCGAGCGCGGACACCCGGACACCCGGACACGCGGACACCCGGACACGGGGACACGAGGACACGCGGCCGGGGCGTGATACGTCGTCTGATGTCCGCATTCTGACTATTGGAGCTGATGGTCAGCTAATAGTTCTCACTCGTACCAAATAATTTTTAAGATTACAATCGAGCTTCACGTTAGAAATGGAAAGCGACTGTAGACTTCGCGCTAGCACCGATGTTGGCTTTTCCCATCATCACCGGCACGATTGGATATCGGTCACCTGTACCGGTCCGTCAGCTGTCTCGACTCCGGTGGCTCTCGGCTAACGGCGTGACAGAGCTACCGTCCGCTGAATATGTATTGGCTGTTCCGTTTGTGGACGCAGTCGGCTAGAAACCGAGTCGACCGTTTGCATACAGGCGCGGCGGGCGCCCGACTCCGAGCTCGCAGGAAATGCCGCCTCCGTGGAGGAAATGCCCGCTGCGCCGTGTCAGTGCGAATCGCCGGATTTGGCTGCACGTGCATCGGCTTTGATCGTGCCGAAACTGACGCAACAAGCATCGGGCCAGCTCTAATTAAAGGCGGCGTTTCGGTCCTCCGCCGACAACTCAGAGCTGTCAGCCGTCACTGGCGGGGTAGCAGACCAAGTTGGACGCCGGGCCCGCCTCTCGGCCGCGGGCTCTTTGTCTGACGGGGCTGGCCCGGCTCGGAGCTCAGCTGCAGCTCAGCAGCTGTGTGGCCGGTCTCAGAGTCGGGCCGCCGACAGCTCGCGGCCGGGCGCGCGCCTGTGACCCGGCCCGGCCGTCCCGGACGCCGCCGGTTCCAGCTCAGCGGCTCGGCGCGGCGACGGTCGGTGAAAGCAGCCGCTCCCGGGCGGGCATCTGTCGCGACTCGGCGGGTCCGGAGCCGAGCGGCCGGCCTCTCTCCGGGAGCTGCTGTCTCCGGGTCTCTCCGGACCACTCCGGGCTGTCTCCGGGCCTCTCCGGGTCGCGTCTTGGGGCTCTCCTCACTGTTTTCAGGCCTTGACTCGCTGTGTCTCCGGGGCTTCTCTGGTGTCTCCGGACCTTTCCATGTCCGGCCAGGAGACGAGAAGGAGACGAGGACACCGGTGGATCGGCGAGTGAATCGTCCATGGGACGCAGGACGTCGTAAAATGACGAGAGGGCGGAAAAAGAGCGTCTTCGAACACAGTTAAATCTTCGGACGATTGCAGGTAACATTGACCTCTGCTGGGCCAATAATGGCTGTATGATTCAACCGCCGCAGATCATGAAGAAACGAGTCTCAACTACGTTTATGCGGCTTCACGGAAGAACACCTGAACCAGGGTCGAAGGCGCGTGGGCGTACGAGCTGCATAGGTGCAGGACTTTTGGGAAACCCGTGGCGCTGAGTTCTGCGGCCGGTTTTCATACCTGACATTGATGGAGCGTATAATAAGGACCTGTTCAGTGTTCAGTGCAAAACATCGGGATTCCCGCCAGCCGCCACTACTTCCAACAAATCCACACTCGGTTCACAAATCTGCCGTGCAGGAGCTCGCTCTCTTTGTCCGAGAACGGCGCAGTAGTAAGCACAGAAAAAGGGTGCTGGCGGCCGCCCGTTGTATGCCGTGACATTCTACTGACGCTGGCGACCTTTATCGGTTAAACACGCGCCCGGCGAGGTGGGCCGGCGGCGGTCCACGGCGACCGACTAGCCGCCGGCAAAGTGCCAGCTTATCTGGTCTATCGGCGGCGGCGCGGCCTTCGCTGTCCAGCCGCGGCAGCGGGTCTGGACATGGCGACAGACCGACCCGCCGCCGGCAGTCGCGCCGACCCCGGCCGCCGCTACCTTGGGCAATTACCCGACCGTGTTGCAAGCCGGGAGAGAAGAAAATCGTGCGTCTCGCGTTTGCAGTAGATAACGGTCTGACAGTGACGGCGCCGCTTCAGAAGGTCGACGGAACGCCGCAGGACCGCCGGGACCTTGACGGCGTACGGCACAGGTGGAAAAATAGTAGCCCTTTTCTACAACCGACGCGGTTAGTTATAACGATCCACAGCACAATGCTCTATTATACAATGTATAGAAATGGAGGTGGTCGTGTCAAAGTTTGTCGAGTCTGTCGGTCTGCTTGTGACAGTTGGCGTCGCCACACGGCGCGCCGCACCGGATGGGGGCTCAGGGCACCACCTGTGTCGTTTCACAGGTGTCTCCCGCCCCCTCGACCCCTCCCGGGCCCACACGGCTTGGCTTATCGGCCGCTCCGCCATCGCTTCACTGTCAGGCCGCTCCGGGAACCGTATCAACCCGGCGCCGGTGGCCGTTTTACCTGTCCTGATCTGGCTCACCCTGACCTTCCATGTGCCCGCTTCTGTTCCTGTCCTTCCTGTCACTTTTTTTGTCCTCCTTCTTGGAATCGGTGGCTGTCCTTGCCTTGGTTCCGTACCCCGGTGCTTCCTCAGTTTATATCGTAGGTTGGCCGTTAGGTCCGCGATATTTACCACCATCTGCAGCGTTTGTTGGGCTCTCACCATGTATCGCCCAGGATAAGTGCCCACCCGGCCCTGCCCTTGCTCCGACCCCGTCCCGTCGACGTCCTTGGCGCCTTCACGATCGGCGGAGAACGGCCGAAGGCGCGCGGATGGCGAGGCCGTGACAGAGACCCCTCCCTGCCCACCGCCGCCGGGAATCAGGTCACTATCGAGGTCACTGCCGTCCGGGGCATACACAGAGAACGCCGGCCAGCCGTCGGTGGCCATAGTCGGCCCAGCGTCACCCCAGCGACGCTAGACGTTGCGCCACAAACACTGGCATGTTTGCGGTCGGCACGGAGCCTCATCAGCTTTAGGCAGAGATTTGAGGCTTTGAAATCGGGAGAGAGGACTTACCGGCCGACAGTCGGGCCACTTTCTCGCTCGGGCCGAGCGTGGTTCCTTCTGACGGGGTGGTGCCGTCAGCTGGCACCTCGGCCAGGCGCGCGAGGAACACGGGGTGCGGCAGCTCGACTCCGATGGGACACAGCTCGCTGTCCCCTACGGCGTCCCCTGCGGTGGGGCTCGACCTTGCCTTGCTCGAGCCGTTTTCGTGGAAGCACCTCCTTTGGTGCGGCCCGGTTTTTGTGAGCCGTCGCTCGAAGGCCGCCCACCGCCCGCCGCCCGTCGGCCGGCCGCCGGGGCGAAGGTAAACATGTGCACTTTCGAGCGGCGGTGGCGGCGGCGGCGCGGCGGGGCCGGGTGGCGGCGGCGGCGCGGCGGGGCCGGGTGGCGGCGGCGGCCGCAGTCGGCGGCGTGACGCGGGGCCGGTAGCACGTGCCGGGCGCCGCGCGGTGGTGACAGCGAACGGACGCCGACCGAAGCCCGGTGTGTGAGGGCTGAACCAACTGTGATACTAGTGACTAACCATGGGCGAGTGCTACCTGCCCGGTGCCACCGAGGGCACCACCACGGCCGACCGCCGACCCCGACTCCTGCCCAGAGGTAGGTCACAGCGAGCGGAGACAAATGGGTCACCCGGAGGAGGGGCGGCACCACAAGCCGCCGCGTGCTGGGACCTGTGGGAAAGGATGGGCCTTGGTATGCCTGACGCATGGTGGTGCAAGAGAAAGTTGCGAGAGAGGTGTAGAGTGATAAAACGTTTAGGTTTGGATCAAGTGACCCAAATCACATTTTGTAACATTCAGGCGCTGCATCATAAAAAGAGAGCTTGAACCTACGGCTGGGATTTATGAAATGCATCAAGGCAACACCGGCCACCAACTCTATCAGCCAATCGACCAATGCTGTTCAATGACAGCACCGAACAGGTGTCCGTGCTCAGTTGACCGCGGGCAGGCTCGGTCTGTTTTCACACTCGTCGGGTCACCGAGTGCCTGTGCCGGTCAGCACATGACCCTGTGACCGGCCTCCTCGCTCGGTCCCGCGCGGCCCGGCCCGTATCCTGCTGGGCTGTCCTGTTTTCCGAGCGTCTGCGTGACGTCAGGCGGCCCAATTGTGGGCGCCTCGGCCGGTATGCAGAGCACCGCTGCGTGGAAAAATCGACACAAACTCCGCACACGGAGACGGGTCCCAGGCAGCTGCGGGAGCCGCGACGTGATTTACACCCCAGGGGCATCGGTTGACATGATAACGCTTGCGAGCGTAACATGAACGTTTCCATACAAATAAAACAGTACAGTTCACACGCGATGAGATGTGAAATCGGTGCTCAGTTTCTCTGTATTTTTCCTCGGCGGTTGTTGGGACCGGTGCGGTCCGGGTCGGGCAGCCTCCGTCACCTCGCTGGGCCCCGGGCTCCCAGTAACAAAGACCAGCCGACGCACCGCCCGGCCGGGTCGGCTCATTATTACGCACGTGCGGCGGCTCGGCCTCGGCCAACACTGGGCCAGGTCAGGTCGGCGCGGAGCGACACGTGCCGCGGTGAGACAGCTCCGCTCAGGTGTGGATTTCTCTCTGCTGCGGGAAGGTCACGGTTGAGCGATAACCGGCCGGACGGGAGACCGTTCAGTTTCTAGGCGGCCAACAGCTGACTGAGGAAAGAGCGACAGGCCGGCCGGTCGCCCTTCCCCGGGGCGCAGCGGCGAGTCGGTCTCGGCGCGCGAGCAGCCGTTTCGAAACCACCTTTGTGTTCCACCGCGGCGGCCTTGTCACGAAAAGAGACGGTCCACGCAATGTCATATGTCACAGAGTATTGTTTAATTGGTCACATGCCGTGTTTCCTGTCTCCTACTGCACGCGTGTGCGTCCTTGACTTGTCACACTGTTCGTAAACGCACACAGCCCCATATCGGGTCCGCCGCGCGCGCTGTGTGTGTCCGTGGATCGACCTGTTGGCAGCGGGCCCGTCCCTCCCCGCCCCTCCCTCTCTGTGTGTCGCCGGCGGCCAGCTAACGCCCGCCCACCCACTTTCCCCGCAGAGAAGCCGGCCCCGGTGAGCTGCGAACCGCCCGGCCTTGACGCCGCCGAGCCGGCCGAGACGCGCCTCTCCGACACGGAGGAGGAGGAGCTGCCGCGCCGCTGCCCGGCCGCGCTGCGGTGCCGGCAGCGCGAGCAGCGCCGCCGCGTGCTCCGCCTCGCCACGGACAAACTCACCGCCGTGGAGGACCTCCGCGAACGCGATCTGCGCCAGGCCACCCTGCTGCAGAACATGGCCGCGCGCCTTGAGGCCGAGGCCAAGGCGGAGCGGGCGGCGCGCGCGGCCCGTCAGAGGGGTGTGCGCGCCTACGCCCGCACGCTGGGCCGCTCGTTCGGCGACCCGAGCTCTGCGGAGCGGCGGCGGAGGCGGCGCGAGGAGAACCGCCTGCTAGATGTTGACGTGCAGGAGATGTTCAGCGACATCTACAACCAGCCGGCGCCGGTGCTGATCGGACCGCTGGACGAGGACGATGAGGCGCCGCTGAAGTTCGCGCGCCGCTGGGAGGACGAGGAGCTGTTCCCGGCCCCCAAACGGGCGCGCACTGACATCAGCAGCGAGAACACCGACCCGAGCCTGGGCCCGACGCTGGCGCCGGCGCCGCAGGAGCAGGTGCGATTCGACGAGCCGCCGCGCGGCTGCGGCGCCGCCGCCGGCTTCACAGAGTTCCACATGTTCCACCACCTGGTGCCGTCACTGGAGTCGTAGCCGGTGCCGCTCACCCGCCCTGCGGCCGCCCGGAGCCGGAGCCGGAGCAGACCGGAGCCTGAACCGGAGCCGGAGCCGCCCGAAGGCCGCAGGTTTTGTCCTTTGTTGTTGTTGTTGTACATATTGTGTCTTTGTTCGACGCATGGTAAAACCAAACCAAAAAAATATTTTCGTGGAGCTGTGGCATGGGTATCTTACAGTTTTGTAGAGCTGAGCTTTAGTCCGTGCCTCGGGCACGCCGGTAGGCTCTGATGGTACCGCGTCAGGCTGCATTTGATCGCTCTGGGACTGTAGCTGCAGCGCGCCGGAGCCGCGGTGCCAGCGGCACCCGGGCCGCGGACGCGCCGCCACCGCCCTCCCCTTCTCCTCTCCTCTCCTCACGTCCTGATCAGCCCGCCGGCTGCGGCCGGCCAGCTCTCTATCCCTCTGATGGCTGTGCTAGTCTCTCGCCCTCCCCGCCCGGGGTGGGGCTGTTCCCCTGAGGCAGGTGCCGCGCTCGGTCGGCTCGCCGCGGGTGGCCGCGTCTCGGCAGCGCAGACGAGCGGCGCCGCTCGAGCGCGCGACCCGCGCCGCTCGACCTTGTCCTTGCGGCCGGGTTGCGCCAGCGCCGGTCACCGCGGCCGGGAAGCGAGCGGCCGACGGCGCCGCTGGCTCTGCTGACCCAGTTTGGTCCGCCGCCGCCGCCGCCGCCTGGCCGCGGGCCACCCGCCGCCCCCGCCCCCGCCCCCGCCCGCGCGACCATCCTCGGTCGCCGCCGTCGGTTGCGTGGCGCGGAATGCGGGCGAACGGGTGCCGAGATTCAGTTTCACTCGGCCCCGGGAGCGGCGGACTGCCCGCCGCCGCGGCAGGCCCGCGGCTGCCGGCCGGGCCAGCGCCGTGCCGCGCCCACTGCCGCAAACGTTGGGGCGCATACCACACGCGCCCTCAAAGATCTCGTCCTGTACTCGAGGATTTCGGCGCGTTTAACGTCACCGCCCGAGCAGCCCGCCCTTCGCCGTCTACAGGGGTTACAATATTATTTTATACATGTGCGTCGGCTGGTCCTTTCGCATTTTGCAGCAGCCCTTTGATCAGTGATGTACCGGTTTTTCGCAGCTTTGTGGCGCTCTGAAAGTTATTCAGAGATCGCCCTCTTATTATTGCAGGATTGTATGTGATTGTGTGCGAGACACTGGATTACGAATTCTGAGCTGCAGCGAGCAGCGGCACATGGCAATGAACGTTGGGTGATCCGTAGGTGGCATATGTATATTATCTCTATGGCTCGTTGTTTGCCCTGTGGCGCGGCGGCTGCCGCGCCGTCCGCCTGCCAGCACTGCCCGGTGTTCCGCGCGCGAGCGAGAGCCCTTCTGTCGATGGCTTAGCACACGGTGTCGTACAAAGGAACGGCGATAGTTCGCTGATGCGTGACGTGTTCTCGCCAGCTTATGAGACGGGCGTTTGCCAATATATATTTAAACAAAGAACGAGGTGATTTGTTGATGAGCGAAGCAGATGGGAACGGGAGGTGGTTGATAGGGAATTCGGCGGGGAAACGAAAAGGAACGACAGTTACGGAACATTAGTGCGCTCACCATGTGTACCAATCTGTTAGGTACACAAAAGTACAATAATGATGCAAGCAAGTCGTGACAGAAAGCAAAAGCTAACTACATCACTATGTACCAAGAACAAAACGATGCGATACACAATGCATATGACCGAGCATGCGGTCGTCAGATACAGCGGTCGATCATCCCGAATAACCAGGGCTCAAAAGTTACTACAAACACCGACTTTCGCAAAGTCCCGAAAGGAAAACATCCACAAACAATCTCAGGAGGCAACGAAAGTCGAACAAGTCCTCCGCAACGAACGTCGTTTCTGAGGACCTTAGCACCCCGCCACATTCACACGTTTATGGTTAAATGCCAGGACAACGAGTACATGCTCCTCAGGTCGAGGAAAACAAACGACATTCGATGACGTCAACGACACAACTCTTAAACAAAGGAGCTGGAAAGGCGAAAAAGTGAGGAAAACAACAACCGATGGCGGATTACACAGGACGGATTTCAGGAGAATAAAAGCTGATGTCAATATGATTCGTAGATTTTAAATTCCTACGTTTAATTTGCGATGATAGGACCCGATAAAGAAAAACTTTTCACATAGGTAAACCTATCATAAAAAAGTTTTGCTGTTGCCAAAAGAATCGATGATCCAAGCATGTGGATTCAAACACCTTGTAATGTAAATCGTAAAGGCTAAAAACCATCCATGCTATATGTGTAGCTAGCTCCAGAGGAGTCCTTGAAACTCATCGGCTCTGTCTGACAGCGGACAGCCAGCTCTGGTTGCAGAGCCGCCCGGCCAACCTGAACCCCCGCGGAGAGCTGCAGTCTCTCGGGGGGGGGGGGGGGGGCACAGGCGGAGCTGGCCTTTCGCCGACCTTGCGGAGGGACCGGTCGGTCCAGCACTGACCTCGCCGAGCCGCGAGGGGGTGGAGGGGGGAGGGAGCTGGTCCGACCTGACTCGACGGGAGGAGCGGGCCGAGAGAGCTCAGACTGAACGAGAGTGATGATAGTTTGAGATCGAGATGGACTCCTGCGGTGCTGCGCCGCATCCGTTTTGGTGCCAGCTCAAGCTAAGCACCAGCCATGCAGAGAGAATCGTCGTAGACGAATCGTTCAGTTCAACAACGCTTTATAATTACAAAAAGAATAGGATGGAACACAACCACACCTTTTGAATTGTCCACAGTTCGCGATAAACCTTGTAGGTACCTATAGGTAGTCAGGGTCCAGGACATGTAGGTAAGGATAAAATTAAAAACTTAGAAGGATGAGTATTGGGTAGCTTTATGAAGACCGTAATAATCGAGAACTTCAGTCCAAGTCCCGACTGTCATGACTCCTCACCCCACCCCCCCCCCCTAAAAAAAGACCAATCCACATATTAAAAAAAAAACGCAAACACAAGACCACGATCAAACCTGAAAGATCAAAACATTTTGTCAAGCCCAACTACCCACCCAAACACCCCCGACGCCCCCGTGGACTGACCTTTCTTGGCTCCATGATCCGCCGCCAACATGGCGGGGCCGCTGCGCCGGTCTCATGTCTATGAGGCTGAGGCCGGAAATTCGCATAAGACGCACGTAAATGATAAAGCTGCATTGCTCATCTCACTCGCACATGCACAACTTAGTTTCATCGTTCCCCGTGGTCACTGATGAACATTTAATTATCACCATGTCGCACACACATCGAAAACGCACCACCAAAACCGCACACAACTCCATGCACGCACTCCTCCGGCTGCAAACTGCCTCGGGCTACGCGAGCGCGCGCGTTTCGTAGGTCACGTGATCTCTGCCCCGAGGGCACGTCGCGCGCGGTAACGTCACATGAGAAGGGGAGGGGAGGTTCATGGAGGACGGGACGGAAGTAGGAGGAAGTCGGCTGCGGAGTCGGAGTCGGAGTCGGAGTCGATTTTGGAAACCGTAGCCGGAGTCGGAGTCGGAGTCACCAAAAATTCATCGAATCCGCAGACCTGCCAGGGCTGCGGAGTCGGAGTCGGAGCTGGTTTTTGAAAGCCGGAGTCGGAGTCGGAGTCATCGAAAATCCCTCGACTCCGCCAGGGCTGCGGAGTCGGAGTCGGAGTCGGAGTCGGAGTCGGTCGGAGTCGACAGTTGTGACCGGAGTCGGAGTCGGAGTCGGAGTCGATTTTAGAAACCCGAGCCGGAGTCGGAGTCGGAGTCACCGAAAATCCGTCGACTCCGCAGACCTGCCAGGTCTGCGGAGTCGGAGTCGGGAGTTGGAGTCGGTCGGAGTCGACAATTCTGGCCGGAGTTGGAGTCGGAGTCGGAGCTGGTTTTTGAAAGCCGGAGTCGGAGTCGGAGTCGCTGAAAATCCATCGACTCCGCAGCCCTGGACTCCGCAGCCTGGAAGGTATGACAATGCATTGGTCGATTGAAGTGACGCAAACATGTGAAGTGTGCGGATTGGTGTTGAAAATTTATCGGTGGTTTTATATATCAGTGACGTCCATCTCCGTCTCTATAATGTCCCTTCAGCGAATTGTGTCGGTATTTGGATTATCACTGATTTCTGAAGCAAAAATGCACATTACCTACCCATCACTAATTGGTAATTGCTACAATTTTGGCATGTGTAGGCTTTTGTAAGGTGAGCAGAATTAGCCGTAACGCTAACTGCGAGCTTCAACGTGCCGATTTATCAATCTATTTGGTGTCATTCGCAATCGCGTCAGCCGATCAGACATCAGTTGTCCATCAGTTGCTGCGGCGCTACAGGTCTACTGCGTGACAGCGCAGCACGAGACCAACGCACAGCTACCGTCCGGTTCCGACGCTTCAACAACGTCAAAACTTAAACAGAATCCCCAACTCGAAAATGGCAAATCTACATATGGTAATGTTTAAAATACATAACCATCGTGAACGGACGCTTCTGCGATGTGAATTGAAGCAGACGCACATTCTTCATGAATTTCGTCATGCAGTTCAAGAAGAAAAACAAACATAAAATAGACGATAGATCGCTAAAGTGCGCAGCTTGGAGAGTCCAGGAGCTCGTTGACTTTCTGTACCAGGCTGCACGTGATGTGGAAGTTATCACAGATCGTGCTTTTATGCCTACAAACTTTGTGCTATTCTCTCGTACCGCATCTGTCTTAGCACGGGACCCTTCATCCCCTTCTATGCGTTCTAATTGGTTTCCATAATTAGAATGCACAGATTATGACGTTTTTTTTTTACGTGCCTCGCGCAAATATGGGATTAAGGAAGACCATCAACGTTCAGTTTAACACAAATGCGAATAAGAAAGCATACATCCTGTATTGCAAAGCCAGACAAATATATGATATTTTATATACAGTTCACACATCAACAAGTCACAGCCCTCAGCACCATTTCTCACATACAACACGTGACAAAAAGCGGTTCGTTTCATTTACAAACAACCTGAGAGGGCGAGCCAACGTTCCGGTATTCAGTTGAACTCCTGTCCATACCATACCGGACTGAGCCGACATACTTAGGACCGCAACCGAGCCTCAGTGCCACTGAGACTAGTACTAAGTCAGCTGTTCCTATCAGGAAATACATGAGACACTGACAAAATTCGAGCTCGTGAACGGAACCATATCACAGCGTCAGTTCGAGTTTCGTCTCTAAGCTCGATGACGGAGTTCGAGTTCGTTGCGCCGTATCAGGTCGTTGACCGACCGTTGACCCTCCCGCCGGGTCAGGTCGGGTCAAATCAGATCAGATTAGACCGATCAGATCACCACAGGCACTAAGACCAGACCATGTCAGGTCTGACCGTACCCCGCTATATCAGGTCACGCCTCACGCCAGGTCAGGTCAGGTCATTGCTGGCTGAAGCTCCACCTGAGCGCCTGACACAGCTCCGCCGCTCTACCGTGTGACGTCACACCGGCCAGCCTCCTCTCCAGCTCTGTAGGCGAGCTACGGACGGACGGACGGGAGACGCGGGGGGGGGGGGGCACAGGGGCGAGTTAGTGGTACGACCACGGATAAATCGGACCCAGACTCAACTTCACAGGCATGCATTATAAGTGACCAAAGTTGGTAGGGAATGGGCGGGTGGGAGAAGGAAAGAGTATTGTCTGCAAGAAATATAATTATCCGTAATAAAATTAATGTTACCTACTTAGAGCTTCATAGAAATGCAGCCGCTAGATATGAATATGAAACAACGACTGTTTCCATTTAACAAGATCCAGACACGGCCAGATATCTCAGAAATTAGACTGCTGTTGGTAAATTCATAAAAGAAACGATGATCAAAATTGACATTTAAAAAAAAATGTAACAAAGCCTGTGTTCGAATCTTGGGAGCAAAACTCTTGGTAGTCCAGAATCCTGGTGTCAGCGATACACAGTACTATTAAGAGCCCATCACAGCTCTCGAGATTAGTGTCACGCCGTGCCTCACCTCTGCAGGAACTGAGCCAGCGTTCCGAACTCAGCGCGAATGTCGCCGGCGAGCGGAACGCTAACGGCCGGCAGCGCCTCCAGGAACCGGCGGCGAGCGTCCTCTATCGGCGCTGGTGGCGCCTCTGGCGGCGGCGGCAGACACCAGCCGGCCTGCCGCTCGGCGGCCGCCAGCCGGCTCAGCACCGAGGCAGACTGGTCTGGAAACGGGAAATGGTGCAATTATTGGTGATAGATCTCTTTGAGAGGAATACAACAGACTGAAACAATGAGACGTGCATGCCGCGGGCGACAGCCAAAGAAGACAAGCTGGCAAAAACTCAAGCATACACTATATACAGGCAGCCGACGAAAAACATTGGCGCCTTTGAGCGAACAAAACATTACTCACAGGCTCGCGCCTCGCATTGATGCTACCCATATCAATCTACAATGTCTGACCCTCCCTCACTAATAACCAGTTTGATTGGCCGAGATGCCATAAATAATCGGAACAGAAAGTAAACAGTTCTTCTCACCTGGTGAGTCTGTGTGCAGTACGGTGACGCCCGCGCGGGTCAGCTGAGCGATCAGCTGGTCGGCGGCGCGCGGCCGGCGCTCGGGCGGCGGCGCGGTGCCCGCTTTGACCCTGTCCCGCTCCACCAGCAGCCAGCAGCGGCTGTAGAGCCGACAGAGCCGCTGCAGGCGGGCCACCAAACGGCGGCGACCCGGCCCCGTCTGCAGGTCTGAGAACGGGGGGGGGGGGGCGTTAGTCCGACGAGGGTAGCGCATTGAACCACCAACACAGCTTGCTTATCAGTCAATTAGCGAAGTTTGAAGGGCATCACACGGGGATAAAAAAGGACATCTATCTTAGACAACAGAAATATACGGAGGAAATGCAGCACATTTTGGATGGGATTCGAGAAAGCTTATAATGTGAAGCAAACAAAAAATAAATCAGAAAAGCAATAAGCGAAGTCTAAAAGTGATGAGCGGAGTCTCGTGTAATTCCTACTACCACTTCATCCCCTCTCTGCCCTCCCTTGCCCTCACCGGCGGCGGGTCGCCGCACCACGGCCGCCCTCCTGCTGACGATATAGTCCTCTGCCGGCAGTGAGCGGACCTCCGTTCGCGCCCGGTGCACGGCCCGCAGGTCGGAGAGGAGGCGCGGCGCGCAGCTCACCTCCCGGGAGCTGGCTATTATAACCAGCGGACCGGGGGCCGGCTGAGGAGAGGGGGCGGGGTAGGTTGTTGTAGAGTGAGTAGTTCAGAGGACGCGTTAGCAGTATAGAAACAGCCGTAATATCAATTCGTAAATTCTACCTGCTTTAGAATTATCAAAGCAGGGAGAGGCAACCCACGTTCCTTGAAATATCTCCACTCTATAGCACACACTCACAGATATGCGCCTATGTCTGTTTAGAGCATAAAGCTGATAATAACCACCTAAGCCACGCTCGCGTCGTTCCTCACCTGTTCTGAGCTCCGCCCCGGCGCCCCCTGCCGCCCGCTCCCCGCTGACGGGACCGGAGGACGGCTCTGGACCCCGCTGGGGCCGGCCGATCCGCCCCCACCGGCCACCTCCACACCTCCTCCCCCAGCCGAGCCGGCCGTCTGTGGTGTCCGCCCCATACTAAGCCGCTCCCGAAACTCGGCCTGCTTCTGTCGCGCCCGCTCCAGACGAGCCTGGCGCGCCCTCTCGGCAGAATCGGGAACTATGTTTTCCTTTCTTTCCGATAGAGGCGCAGCTGTCGGCATTTCGTCGTCGCTGTCGAATAGGCCGAGATCGAAGACCGGGCGATCCGTATTACGTGATGTGCGCTTTTTGCTTGTTCCAAAAGTTGGAGTTTCAAACGGATCATCAGGATCTGACCGCCTCTTCGCTTTAGTGATACTCTTTAGAATCGAACCAGCCGGACGCTTGCTGGACAGCCAGACACCATTCGTGGACGAAGGAGTCTTGGTCTTTTCATCGGAAGACTTCTTCGTCACCCTTTTACGTTCAACCGAGCGAGGGTTCGCCTCGGTTCCATCCAGCTGAAAGTCAGCATCAGACTCTGACCCAGATGGGGGCCGATTGGTCGTGCCAGCGTCACTCCGCACGGTGGCGCTAGTATCACTCCGCACGGTGGCGCTGGTGTCGCGGCGGCCGACTGGGGAGCGCTCTCCCTCGCTGGACGAGACTGCCCTGATCCGTCTGCGCCGTCCCCTCTGCCGTTTGGCCGGCGATTCGCCGTGGGAAGAGGCCGAACTGACGTACTCCACGTGATCACTGTCCACGCAGAAACTGTCCTGTAAGGGCAGAGACAAAATTAAAGTCAAACATGATTTAGGCATATACCTAGGCGTAAAATGCAACTATGATGCATTGGTTAGGTATTAGAGATTCTAGTGGCAATGATCGTTCTAACTTTCGGCAATAGATATTTGAGCGTTGAGAAGCACACAATGCATGAGGTCGGTTCATTGGTCTACAATAAAAAAATCAATATCAGTTATCACTCATACCTAAGCTTAGGTCAACACAAAACACCATCTACCAAGACAAGACAATCAATTATCAAACACATCTTCAGCTTGTTACAGTTTCTTGCAGGCTACATACTGAGTCAGGGCTCGGTCTTACCTGTTCATAATCGTCGTCCTGGTGCGGGACCTGGGAGAACAGCTCAGAGTCGTTGGGCCGCGGCAGGGCGGGCCGACGGAACGCCGGCGCCGCGCGGCCCGGACTGCGCACAGACTTCAGGTACACGGCGCGCATACTGCAAAAGAAGAAAATGGATAATGAAGGGAAGAAACGGTACTTTGAGATACGTGGTGTGTAACCGTGAGGTCAGACGAATCTGAGTCAAGTGAGCAAATGGAAAACGTATGCGATGGCCGGGAATCGAACCCGGGTCAACTGCTTGGAAGGCAGCTATGCTCACCACTATACCACCATCGCTGGATATCAGCGCCTCTAATTACAAGATAGATCAAACTAGATAAAAGTGATGTGACGTTTGTATTATTTAGAGATGCTAATTTCATGCAAGATGTTTATAAATTCAATTACAAAGAAAAATTCAATAAAATATCTGAAGTAAGAACATACAAATTGACAAATATGATCCCCGAACGTCTCAGTCCACTACACAATCACGATCACCGACCCTCAGTCTCAGCCCGCGGCCGTGACACTCACTCGACGTCCTGCTGGGTGGGCTCCGGCGCGTCGTCGATCATCGACTCGTCATACTGGTCAGAGTCGGGCCCGTCGCTCTCGTCGTCTGAGGAGGCCGCCGACGCGTCGGTCGACAGGTCAGCCTCGTCATCCAGGAACGGGTTCCGGGCCCGGCGGCGGCGGCGCCGCTTCTGTGGGGCGGGGAGAGTCAGAGCGGTGACATCCGTATTACGACACACATGAACAGTGAGCACTGCTAATGGAACACCCACACTCAAAGGCTGAGCTACGCTATAGTCTTCTGATATGAATATATATATATATATATATATATATATATATATATATATATATATATATATATATATATATATATATATTCCGAATAACACTCGAAGAATGTCGCGTTATATAAAATCTAGGTAGTAACTATAACCGTGGCATGTTAGCAAATTCCTATTTAATTGACCAAATACACACTCCCTAACCACGATTCACTCTTGCTCGTATTTTACCCTCCCCTACCCTATGACTGAATTGTACTCACCTTCCCCGCGGCTGCAGCCGGCCGGCGTCCAACGCTCTCCGAGCTAGAGTCCCGCGCCGACTCCGCTCGACTCCTCGACTCCTGCACCGACTCCTGACGACTCCTCGCCTCCTGCCGGTCCCCTCCCGGTCCTCCCTCCTCCCCAAACTCGGTCACCCAGCCGACGGGAGGCGTTTCCTCCTCACTGTCCCGGAGTAACGCCGGACGGTGACGGCGGCGGCCGGCCACCCGCGCCACGGGACTGTCAGTGACATTGGCGGCCGACCCGGCAGGCATCAGGGGGCTCTCTGTGTTGTTTGGAGCTGCCCTGGCAGGTACCACCGGGCTGTCGGTCTCATTTGCGGCCAGTTTGGATGGAATTAGTGGACTTTCTTGATCAGATACCACAGACTTGGGTCTAGACGCAGGTCGAGCTAAGGGAGAGCTTGCGTCCGATATTCTGGACAGCAGAACGACGGGCTGCTTGTCGTTCCGGTTCGCTCCCGATGTAGACTGGACGAGGGTGTTATCCGTGGCGTCTGTTCCGTTCATATCACGGCAAGTGCGCTGGTTATTAGCCTCGGTCTCAGTACGTTGATGGCTGTCCGTCTCCGGTCCCCAAGTCACATGTCTGCCAGCCAGTGGAGATACGGGTACCCGCGGAGATGTTCCATCCATACGGAGTACTCGCGGCGCCGGTCTTCGGCAGGTATCAAACTCATCCTCCGCCCACGGGTCTTCATCACCCAGTCCAGCTACCAGTCCAGCAACCAGTCCAGCAGGACGACCGGCAGACCCAGCGGGGGTGACACCAGTCGAGCAGTGTCGCTGCTTCACCTTGGAGAGCCGCCGCCGTCCCCTCGCGGAGAGCGGCGTACTGTGTCTCCTGTCCACGGTCTCCCTCGGCCTCCTCTGACTGGACAGGATCGGTGACACGGCCGGGGAGGTCACCGCGCCGCCGCCGGGAGCCGCGCGGTTACCGGAGGGGGTCTGGGGCCGAGGTCGGGTCACGGTGAACAGAGGACTGTCGAGGGTGGCGGACGTCGGTCCTCGGGTGGTGAGATTGGTGGAGGGTGTACCGGTCACCGGTATGGCTTCTGTCAGAGGAGCGGGTTTGGACGCTGGGTCTACGGTGCCACCCTGCTCTACCACTGTCACGTCATGCGAGTCAGACAGATCCACAACCTTTACAGAGTTAACTGGCTTCTCTGTGTTCTTTGCCTCCGCTAGCTCCTTGCGATCTGCAGCGTCCGTCGCGCCACCGGGGTTGGACGTCACACCCTCGAACAAATCACTGTCCTCGAAGAAATCGGCAAACAGATCAAACACTGGCTTTTCCACCTCCCGAGCTGCCGGAGCCGCCGGGGCCGGTTTTACCGTGGTGCCACCGGTCTTGCCATTCTCTTTTCTCTCACTCTCCACTTTCCCTTTCTCCGTCTTCTCCGCCACTATATCCCTCTGCCTCTCCCTCTCTCCTCTCACTCTCCCCGCCGGCGTTCCCATCTTCTCTCCCATCCTCCGCGATCCCTTCCCACTCGGCGTGCGTCCTCCAGGAGACATCACACTCTTATCCACCAGCTCCAGTAGCTGAGTGGTGGAGTAGATCGACGTACCCGCCGCTGGAGAGTCGCGGACGGACGGAGCTGACCGCACCAGCAGCGGCGGAGACCGCAGAGGGCTGCAGACGGCGACAGATACAGCGGGAGGGACGGACGCCAGGGGTACCGAGACGGCCGACGCCGGCGGTGGGGGGTCGAGGGATGGAGGCTGTGGTTCTGGGGCAGGCGGAGGAGTGACTACGTTGGCAAACAGCGCGTCGTCGTCTAATCCAAAGTCGAACAGCGGCTGTGAGGACGGGTGCCGCCGCCGCGCGGTGGCTGTCGCAACGGGAGGGGGTTCACTGTTCTTGACGCCGTGAGTTTCTTCTTTCCCAGAAGGTAAAACATTCTTCGCTTGCTTGCCACCGAAAAACTCTCTCGAGGGTGTCTTCGACTTCAAGGCATTGCCAGCGCTTTCTAGTCGGTTCCTTCCACCAGCGACCACATCAGCAGGCTTGCTCTCTCGCTGAAGTCTATCCCTGTCAGGCTGCAGATCCAGGGCACCTTGCCGTCCTGCAGCTGTCCCTGACCCATCCTCCGCCACTGCCGAGGGCGGTACTGACGCCGAGGCCGGTGTGGCCAGCGCAGGGGCCGGCTCGAAGCCCAGGGAGGCCGCCGGCTCCCCTGCTGACGCGGGTGGCTCCTCCACACGGGCGAACAGACTCTCATCAGCGAACAGATCCTCGCTGGAGGGGCGGCGGGTCAGACCAGCCTGCAGGCGGAATACTGGGGAGGATACCGTCACTGCCGGCGGCGGCGGCGACGGTCGAGTCTGACGCTCCTCAGAGAATTCAGCTTTACCCCAACCAGTAGCCCCTATCGGCTCAGCAGTAGAGGGTCCTCCATTCTCCACCGCACCTCCTGGGATTGGCTCTACCGATGGCATCTCAATCTTCCGCCTCTTACTGCCGCGCGACAGCTTTCTCCGTTTGCTGGGATTCTGTGACGGTAAGATCGGTGAACCATCTTCCTCTGAGAGTAGAGACACCACGGGTGGACGACTCGGAAGGACATCCACAGAGCGCGGCGGAACAGAACTGCCCGGAGCGTCTGACGGAGGAGGGAGAGGGGAGGAGGGAGGAGGGGTCGCCGGCGGCAGGGGGCTCGGGTTCCACTCCCAGTCCGCGTTCCAGTCGTCTGGAAGATCGTCCCACTCGGCAGCTCCGCCCTCCGGGGCGTCAGAGGGACCCTCCAGCGGGTCAGCCTCACACACCGGCGCTGACTTTGGGGGTTCGCTCTGTACCGCCGCTCTCAGTCCCGACTCTGGCTTCGTGGCATCACTGCTCGTGTTGGTACGCCCATCAACCTCTGGGCCTGCCGTTCCATTTCCCTCATTCACGACCCTCCATTCTTCCTCCAAATCACCGGTCTCTCTCCCTGCCGTCGGATCCTTCCTCTCTGACCCATGCCGCTCAGCCTCCAGCCAGCAGCGCGCCTCCAGCCGCTCCGTCCTCTCCGCACTCATCATCAGCGCTCCCTCGTCCACAGTAACCAGAGGAGCAGCCAGCGCCTCCTCTAAAGCACTCAGCAGACCGGCGGCGCCGCCCCAGCCGGTGAACAGCGGCGGCGGCGCGACGGGCGGCCAGTCGGGCGGCGGCGGCGGCGGGGGCGGCGGGGAGTCGGCTCCGGAGGTCTCCAGCAGACTGAGACGGATCGCCTCGGCCACCTGTTCCGACTCGGAGAGGGCGCTCAGGTCTGCGGCGGGCCGAACCGGCGGACTGGCCGGCCGGGGTGGCGCCGGCGGAGGGGGCATCGCGGGCGCCGCCGGAGAGGGCTCTGAAAATAGAGGAGGGACGGCCGTCACTGGGGCTGTTGGAAGAATATGGGAATACGCTCAGATTTACGATTTTACGTTTGAGTATAATGACCAAGCTGACCAATCAAGAACATATTAACAAACACCTGTATAAGAAACAAGTGATGCCAAAACAATGTGAAGTTCACATTTTTAAGATGGATTCATCCGAAGAACAGTTATTTTTCCAGTCAAACTCCAATATCAAAACGCGTGAGCAAGATATATAACCCTGAACCATCCTACCACAGTCATCGTATCATCCATGACTCTGGTACCCGGATACCACCCCCGTACCCGGTCCTGTACCGCCGCGCCGACTCACCCAGCTCTATTCCGGCGTGCCGGCGCAGCCCCGTCATCTCCTGGTCGTATCCGTCGGCCCCCGTGTGCGCCTGCTCAGCCATGAAGGCCAGGAGGCGCACCAGGTTCCGGGAGACGCCGGAGTGGGAGACACCGTGGGTGGGCTGCAGGGTGGTCTGCCAGGGCAGCCACTCGGTCAGCGAGAGCGGTGCAGGGGCGGAGGGGCGACCGGTGTTGGTGGCAGCGGTACCTACGGGATACAGAGAGAATGGTCGGTCAGGGCCGGTCAGAGCTGTATACACGGGGAGAAGGGAGTGAGGGTGCTGAAAGAAATGTGATGCAAATGATGCAAGAGGTGAACACTCAACAAAACAAGATTGAAAAAGCGTCATGAAAGATTGCAGTTCAGACAGTCTGTAGTTTATCATTGCAACATCAAACTAATGCTATTATAACGCATGCTTGTTTGAAAATGGACCACGGAACAGCATGTCGACCTCAACAGCAGACTGGCGGTGAGGACACCCACCTGTTGCGTGTCTCGGCGGCAGCCTGCGCGCCGGCTCGTCCCCCGGCCTCAGCTTGTAGCGGGCGTCCCACTCCCTCATCTCGTCATCACTGAGGTAGGCGGCCGTGGCCGGACCGCGCTCTGGGGCCAGCGCCGCCAGCAGAGAGGCCATATTCTGTCCTCCACCGGTACCCCTGCCGGCGCCCCTTCCCCTGCCCCTGCCTCTGCCGGCCACCGGTCCGCCCCGGCCCCTGCCCCGACCCCGACCCCGGCCGGTCGCAGTCGCCGGAGAGGAGGCGGCCACCGTCATATGGAGCCGGTGACAGACGGGCTGCAGGCCGCGCGGGATCATACGCGGGCTGTTCTTGAACAGGTGAGGGCCGAGCTTCGTACCTGCGGGGAGGTACACGGCTATTGTTAGACCTAAAGTGCTATGCTTAAAGTAACTCGAGTCAAAGCGCTCTTATCCAGGGAACACTGAAAATTTTCAGAACGTATTTGTGAGATCGAAAGGACTGGCATGACAGAGAACATGATAGCAAACCCTGTCAAAAAAACAACATATAATCCGGAAACAGTCAATTCATTTTGATATCAGACCAACGATCGAAGCAATCATGCTCTTAGCACGTAGCCACGCGAGTGACCGTGTCAGTCGTACCGGTCATGATGGTTTTGAGTATGCTCTTGCGCTGGTACATGCTCTGGTTGTAGACGTGGTCTTCCTTTCCCTCTGTGACCAGCACCACGATCCTCCCCTGCCGCTTTCGTCCGGTACGGCCCATCCGCTGGACCTGGGGGAGGGAGGGACAGCGGTGTCAGACGAGAGCGAGGTAGCATTGGGTCTTCATTGGGCTTAATGACTGATTCAAAATGTTACTGATTTGTGACAGTCATTGCTCCATGACTGGTCAGCGTTGCCATCTTGAGCCGAGCCGTCCTATCTCACATCTTATTTCACATTCATTGGTGTACCGAGCAAATCAGATAGCGCCCAACGTATCGGCTCAGTGAACAGAGCAGCACATCACGCACTTGTCATGCCGTACCAGCCACCATTCGTAAATACAATATGCATCCCTCTCCCACCTTCAAGGTCGTATCTATCCCCTCCTCCCCTCCACCCAGCCTCCTCACCAGACTGATGGGCGACTTGCTGACGTCATAGCAGACAATGAGGTCCACGTCTCCGATGTCGAGACCCTCCTCGCCGACACAGGTAGACACCAGCGTGTTGAAGCCGCCCGTCCGGAACGCCGCGATCACCTGGCGGCCAGACGGCGAAATGATAGTTCGAGACTGACCGACAGATGGATGAATCAAGGGTTCTATGAAAAAACACAGCTTTATGGGTAATGTAATGGTATAACAAACACAGAATATATAATGGAAATACTTATTATGAAGCATACTAGACGCAAAAACCTATCCTGTTCCATGGAATCTTCGAAAACATTTCATTCCTGTGATCTTTCCAGTGACTTTTCCATTGATCTTTCCAGTGAACGTCTTCCTTTCCAAATCCTTTAGCCCTGCCCCTCCCCACGGCGCCTCCCGGCCGCCCCCCACCTTGAGCTGCTCCTTCTGGGAGAACCCCCGTGACGATTTTCCGGCGCTCTGTCCGATAAAGTGCATGGCGCGCACGGTGGGATGGAGCTGCTGTAGCACGGCAGAGATCTCCAGTACACTCTCACGGTACTGAAAGGAAAGGCACCGTAATGGTAACCCAGGACATAGTTGCGGTACTGGAAGGCAGCGCGGAGACGGTACGACATGGTGCGTCAATGTTCGTTGGGATACACATTACGCTACGACAAGGCACTTTATGGCACGGTACGGTACGGTCATGGACTCATGGATGAAGTCCATGGTACGGTGACGTCTTGGTGAAATGACACTGCACAATCAGACGACAGAGGGAGACAAATGTTACTTGGTGAGCCAAAATCCTGCGACACCGAGACACACCCTGTCAGTCATACGATGCTTTCATTTATACACATTGACCTGTCCTGATATGACCTGACATAACTAGTCAATGACCTCACCTGATCTGACCAATCATCGACCCACCTGGCAAGCTATTCACCTAACCCGACTACACCACTGACCAATTGACCTCATGATCGGTAATTGACCTCACCTGACCCCACCTGACGGGTCGTTGACCTCACCTGACCCCACCTGACCGGTCGTTGACCTCACCTGCGAGAAGACCATGACGCGGGTGGTGTCGCCACAGTCTCGGAAGTGCTGCTCCACGAGCTCTCTGAGCCGGGCCAGCTTCGGGTGGCTCTGCTCCAGGGCCGCCGGAGCTGCCACCTGACGGACGGAGGGAGAACTAGCGCTCAGGACACTGCTAGTGACGGGATGTTACTGGTTCGGTGGTATTAACAAATTCGTTCATACAACTGACCACTTTCTTTAGTAATTTTCTGTTTGAGACATTTCTGGATGAGATGTGCATCGAGCAAAGTTCTGTGAGTATTGTGGTCTCGCCGTTTCGCAGTCACCGTACATGACATCCTCAACTCTTCCTCTTTAGAAAACGGTACAAACAACACAGTCGACTGCAGTGCCCAAGCAGTGCTAGGACCAGGCAGTGTCATTATCCTCCGTTCCGTCGTTTCCATCCTCAGGATAGTCAAATCCTTCTCCTCCATACCTCAACCCCCTGTTCCGGGCTGGACGGACATCTTTATCCCGTGCCGGTAGCTCCACCCAAGCAGCACGCCCGTAGCCGGGTGCAGTGACCGTCAGGAGGCTGGGTGATCTGCTCACTGGACGGGCTCAGCCCCGACGGGTCACCAGGTTGTCCGTCCAGACCAATGTTCCCCCCCCCCCCCCCCTAATGCCTATCATCCTTCCGGCTCTGCAATGGTCTCATTAGGCCGAGCTTTGCCCAACAAAACAAAATGTGTCATCACCGTCACAGTTTAGAGTCAGACGCACGGCAGAAACGCGACATACGACGGCAGCGCTACCGGCTGGCGCTCGAAGCTGTCAGGCTGTCAAAGTTTGCGACGATTGATTATTCGGAATAAGTTCGATACAGCATGGCCGGGAAAGCACCAGTAGATGTCACCAGTCGACGAACCAGACTGATAGCATCTAACGCTCATTGATACAAAAAAAACTTTGATATAAGCATGTAATTTGTAAATCTTCGGATATCATGGTCACAAGTTGGGGTTTAGGGCAACCGACCTACGGAGGTCATCGGCTCCCAGTTTGGGACATACATTGCAAGCAATAACAAACATTGCAGGACAAAAACCCATCCCCGCTACGACCATTCCTCTATCCTCCACCTCTCCAACCCGAGTACCGGCCGGTTCCGACCGCTCTGCGATCCGGCGGCTCTAATTTCACAACACGCCGTCGAGCGGCGGCTGTTGTGGTGCTGCGGGGGCGGAGCGGAGGGCTGGTCGGAGGGCGGAGCGGAGGGCTGGTCGGCACCGGCGGCAGGTCCCCGTCGGTCTGCAGCTGGCAGTGGGAGCGGCGGACCGCAGCCGGCGACAGGGAGCTGCTCGGAGCCGAGACCGCACACAGGTGGGTGCCGGCTGGGGGGTATTAGACCAGAGGGTGGGTGGGTACGATGGAGGCAAGTGAAGGTCGTTAGGGTGCAATGACAACCGTTTAAAAGCCTACGACTTTGTAAAACAAATACCAATCAAGTCGATTGAATTGATTGATTTGATTCAGCGCATATTTTGAGTTGATTGGATTGAGTCGATTGACTTTTCGAGATGACTGGTTGACTGACTCGTTTGACTTTAGCGACTGGTTGACTGATTTGATTCCCGAAAATTAGAGTGACTCGTATGATTGAGTCGATTGAATGGAAAGTTGAAATAAGTTTTAGTTGACGAAAAATAATGACACCAATTGATGACATCAAAGATCACAAAACTACACTGAAAACTGCTTGTCATCACAACTGCAATATGGAGTAGATGGCCAAATAAAGAACAGGGCCTTAAAGGAAAAGTGCCACCTTCGTGAAATATGAAGATATCGTTGCTTTTCATTTTGACATTATCATTTTTCATGTTCTTTTTAAATCTGGTGCCAGAAGTGCATAATTCGCAAAAAAGTATGTCAAACTATTTAACATATTGGTACTATGTTTGTACTCTCTACCGCACCTTCTGTATGATATCATAGCGATGACATCACACTCAAGCCAATCAGCCTTCAGAAGACAGTCTCGTCGGCTTGTGTCAGATTAGCTGATTGGTTAAAGCTGAGCTGATTGGAGCTGATTGGTTAAAAACCAAAGCCTCGCCGCGGGTGGCTGTATTACAGGATAAGAACGCATTCCTGGGATAAGGACGCATTCCTGGCATATTTTCTTTTAAAATTGCCGATACCTACAAATGGAGGCCGAAATCGGCCGTAAGGTGGGACACTCTCGGGGTTTTCGGACACGGGCTACAAGATGGCCATCTCAGTTTCAAACCCCATGTTAAAGGTGACCCTTTTCCTTTAACATGAACAGCCAACTTTGACTTTCAACTGCAATAACTGCTCCAATCCTGTGATAGAACCTGGCGATGCACCTACCTACCTTTCTGCACTCAGCAGGAATTTTTTTTTTTTAAATCCAGATGATAAAGTGCAAGGCCCTGTATACTAATAAAGTGTGATTAATTACTAATTCACATCTCCACATCTCCTCAGAAACAACCCACTGAACCTCTATAAATTGAAATATCTGAAACCCCTACAAAAATAACTGAAACAAAAGCGCCGTTTTCGTCTCGCTAATTACGTTTACATTAATAGCTAATTTGCTGCATTGTTTAATTTGCAGCAGAACGTTTGTTGATCCTTTTCTCCTGAGAGCCTAGGCATAACATATTTAATGTATTTCATTTTCCTTAAAATATTTTACCGAATATTATTAAGTGGTTTTATTTCAATTGAAATTATAATTAAAACGAAATTGGTGTTGTACAACCGATTTATTTTATGATGATCTACCATACTACATGATAATCAATGACGTCATCTTACCAAAAAATCAAAAGACGAAGAATAAGGATTTATAAAAGCTTAGCATACTTCTTGGCAAAACGTTTTCTTTGTTTTTTCGCAGTCGCACCAACGGCATTTAATTTTCCTTGTTCTTCTTCCTTTGTCCTTAACTTATCCTGTGGTTCCAGAATCCAGAGTCCCTGTCCTTTCCATTTCCTTTTAAATATATTTTTAATGCTCATCCCTATCCCCCAGTCCTAACAGTTTCAAATTGTATTGCAATAAAATGTTTTGAATTCTTCACATATAACCTATCTACCTTCGTTGGTACTGTTGGTAGCTAGTGACACATCTAGGCAGGTAAGTAGGTACCTACCTGCTTTCCTGCTGTCTTCATAAAGCATACCTATAACCTAATGAAGTTGTCAAATTTATAGCACATTTTCAACACTTTCATATCAATATGGTGTCAGTGTGGCATGTAACCTAGCTAGGTTCATTATGTTCAGGGTTCAATTCAGAAGAGCTCCGCATAACTCACATAAGAGACAGAGGGGGCTTTACATGGGGTAGATGGCCTGATGACTTAGCTGGAATATGGCCAAAATTAAATTGACAACTTTTAGGTGAAAGGTGGTGATTTGGGTTAAGGGCGAGTCAACTACTGGGTTATTTTGCACCCATTAAATGAAACTTCTGCTCCAATTCTACCCATTGAACCTCAATATCATGATCCACCTGTCCATCACTAGGTATCCTTCCTTATTACATAGAAACTTTGAATGGCATGGCAATTTATAATTTTAAATGACAATATTTTTGTTTCTTCTGTAGGTAGGTAGGTAGGTAGGTACACCACACTGCTATGGACACTTTTCCAAGTTGGTGGGGCAAAAAACCTAATGTATATCTTGGTTTGAGTCGTTTGATTGAGTTGATTGATTCCTTTCATTGTCGCATTTGAGTCGATTGAATCAATTCCCGAAAACTGCTCTGACTTGATTGATTTGATTGGTTTCCCAAATTTGTCGTGATTGAATTGATTGCTATTGATTGAGTCGTATACAACCCTGTCCCTAACAGCTTCCCCAAACCCTGCTTCGATGACGGTAAGGTTAGAAAACGACACACACAGCAGCCGAGTGAAGTGCCCGAGCAGCGGGATACATTGCAGCGATCAAACCCTGTGTAATGTGTACCTATTATTACCGTCACATGTGCAGAGTCAGACACCGAAAATGCTACGCATGACTGCACTGCGTTACAGGTTAGCGTTCAAGTCGCCGACTGTCAGACTGTCTGGCAAAGCTTATGACATGGTTGGCCGCCGATCGATTATTCGCAATATGTTTGAAACGATACGACACGACCGGGGCACGGATCACGGTGACAGCGAGCCCGACAGGCCAGAGACCGACGCCAAGGTCAGCAAAAGTAATTTGAAACTAAACCAATACATACCGACGAACCAGCTGCTCAATACTTTCTGATAATTTAGAGTCTGACGTCAGCCGTATCCATCTTCGAGCGCGGAGCCACAGTCTTTTTTCGCATTGATTGTCATGACAAGAAATACATATGCAACTCGTTCTCGAACATAAGTAGGATTTAACAATTTCAGCATTGTGGGTGTACGTCGTCTAGGCTGCAGGTCATAGGCGCACAGTTTCAGATCTAAATCATAACAAACATTACAGGACAAAACCCATCCACGCTAGGACCATTCCTCTATCCTCCACCTCTCCCACCGAGTACCGGCCGGTCCCGACCGCCCTGCAATCCGGCGGCTCTAATTTCACAACACGCCGTCGAGCGGCGGCGGCTGTTGTGGTGCTGCGGGGGCGGAGCGGAGGGCTGGTCGGCACCGGCGCGGCGGCAGGTCCTCGTCGGCCTGCACAGTTGGCAGTAGGAGCGGCGGACCGCAGCCGGCGACAGGGAGCTGCTCGGAGCCGAGACCGCACACAGGTAGGTGCCGGCTAGGGGTAACGACCACAGGGACGGGGTGGTGGGTACGACGGAGGCAAGAGAAGGTCGTTAGGGAAGGGTGCAATGACAACCGTTCAAAAGCCTACGACTTTGTAAAACAATGTTAGATAAATGCAGTTCAGGAAACAATAACAGATATCCCAGGCCCCATCGAGTGAAATCGAAAGTCGTTTATCAACTAGCGCGGTCGCAACGCCCAATGTAATGCGCGTCGTTCCCGTCTCGCTAGTCTGTTGTTCCCGCACTGTCTGTCGGCGACCTTCAGCTGTGTGTAGCGCGCACCTGTGGGTAGCACGGACCGGCCCGGCGTGGCCCGGTCCGGTCGGTCCGCCGGGTATACCGGCACCCGGTGCTAGCCCGGCACACAGCGTCAACCGCCAGAGACGCTCCACAGCTGCCGGAAAACGCACTGCACGGCCTTGGTCTCAATTATCACTGGAGTCAGCCGCAAGTGTTTCCCGGGGCGGTTAATAGAGCCAGAGGGGTAAATTACCTCAACTGCTGGCATCCCAACCTAACCGCCAGCTTCTGTCAATCCAAACACCCCATATACCCCGCCCTCTCATCCCTGTTATACCTGCTACAGTCTTCAAACACAAAATCCTAACAACATGTTCTTCTCTAAGATAAATATGAATGAGAAGCCCCACCCCACTGGTCCGACCAAGCCGTTGCAATATGGCCGCCCGGCGAGCCCCTCAACCAGGGTATATAATATAGCCCTCAACCCCCATCCAGTCTCGGTGGCCGGCGGCCGTTCAGCGATGGTGCGTGACATAGTGGACTGCACCGCCACGGAAAGGCTAGAGCCCGGGCGAATTGAACGCAGCAGTGACAGGGTAGCGGCGGACGAAAGACGTGCAATGAGCCGAGCATGTCAGCAATCGTGACAATACTACCATAAACGCTACCTTCGATGGTCATAGTTCTGAACCGGCCATGGCTGCGTCACAATTTTGCGACGCCAGGGACTACTGCGTTTTAGTCCCACGACTGCCACACAGAGCGTCCCGGCGAAACCTGCCGCCCAGCGCACGGCACCGGCGGTCCCTGCACCAAGGTCGTGCTGTGCAAGATTACTTTACTACTCTCGGTGCTGTGTGCCGCGTTAGCACTGCGGCCACGTCAGAGGGGTGCGTGGTCCTGTGGCGCATCTTATGTATATTTTCATTTATATTTTACAGAAACATAATTATTGTTTAAGTTTCGCGAATTATCGATATATTATTTTATCTTGTTTAAAGGGAGATTATGACCTTTTTCCACAAAATCTGAGTTAGGACCATTTTCTGACAAAACACAACAAGTTATAATGTAAATTAAAACCATTTTGCTCAATTCGGTACCTTGCCGCAAATATCTCAACTTGAAGTCACGTTAGCGGGGAGCGCTGAAAATGACCGTTGAATAAGTACTTACATCACTTTTTGGTACTTGCATGTAATTTTGTAAAATGAGCGTATTCATTACATTTGATCTTCATCACATCTAGTTAGTTAATGGTCGTCTATAGTGCCTTCAAAAGATATTCATGGTTTGGGGGTGGTTTATGTCTAAATTTTTAATTTACGCAACTATTTTTCCTGTTCATCATCTGTCGCCATATGCTGCTATTTTAGTAGCAACGACTCAATTTTGAATCGGTCCCGCCGACTGCACAATAAAAGAAGATAGATACAACACTTTTGCGGCATCACTGAAAAACTTATGCAGTATTGTTATCAAAATTCTCATAACACCGTTCGACAAACCTGAAGTCTTTTTGAAATAAATATGCTTGTATTTTTCGCTTCAGGCTCTGAGGCCAAAATAATGAATTTCGTAGTCGCAATCGCAGGATTTGGCTGCGTTTCTGGCGCATGCCGTTCATTTGTGGCGCAAAATAATGTAAACAGTGTCATTTCTCTAAGCTCTATGTACCCCCGAATTAGAATCTAATTAATTCTAAACCGAATTAACTCTAATTCAAATTAGAATCCTTACAACCAAGCAACGACAAGGCGATAACATAAACAAAAACCCAAGCGTCGCTGTTTGAAACAGAAGCGCCATATACTGCGACTTTTTATAGAGAAGGACAACGCATTTCGGTGGGTGTTACAAGTACTGCAAGTACTGCTTCTTTTTTGCAAAAATAAAAACCTTTTTCACATACGAAAATGTGCTAGGAAATTTTCATATTTTATAGAAACTACAGTAGAAATAGTATAGATGTCGAGTAATTTTTATTTAAGAAAAAAGAAAGCTCATTATCTCCCTTTAATTATTATTGATTAATTGCGCTTTGTATGATTCACTTTTATTTTCCCGCCTGCAACCTTGGCAACCACGCGCATTACTTTTTATGTCACGAATTTTATTTGCCTTGAAAATTGAGGTTGCTTTTGTTGTGAATGTTTTTGAGTTGTCTGTCTATAATAGTATGTCCAAGAACTTGCGTTGATCATAACTTACAATATAATTTCTCATCATCAATAATTACTTTTATCGACCCTTGCCCATAGAGATCTTATATACATAGAGATGACACGCCTATGTTAAAGCACTTGATTTCGTGGCGATTCAGTGGGTCTTTTTAAGCAAGGTTTTCTGGGGTGCCATGGCCCGTGACTTGCATTTTGTAAGGATTCGGTCAAGGAGATTGTGTTCACATCCGCTTATTTTTAAGTACAGTTTTTCTTTTTTGTCTAGCTGTGACGCTTTCGAGCGTTATTATTGAAATGAAATTAGGCATGTTTTAACCTTATGCTCGTATCAGGTACTGCATTTATCATTAAACCTCGCCGTCCGACGGGGGGGGGGGGGGGGTGCCGCCTCCCTATAGGGTTTTTCACGATAGCTCCGAACAGGCAGGCGATAGAGAGCTGAAACTTGGCATACCTGACCTTTGATCCAAGCCGCATCTTGTGCCACCAACCGCATTTTCAGGTTAGGTCAGGTCACTGACCTGTGACGTCATAAGTGAACCTCTGCACAGTCCTCAGATGTCGCAACTTCGCAACGCCGTCAGTGCCAGAGGAACTTTCACAGGGAGATGAAACTTACAGGATGTAGTATCATCCAGAGGTCTCACAACTTGTACATGTATCTCGGATTTTCCCTAAAAATCACATGAGGTCAGGTCGGCCACGTGACCTCACCATTAGGTATAAGTCAATGGGGAAAAATGAAAACTGCTATGTTAGCGCCGAGAACTATCTCAAACCAGTGGCGGCGGATTCGATTTTGGCGTGGGGGGGCAAGATCCCAGTCGAGATGATGTCATAGGCGGATCCAGAAAGGCGTTTTCGACGCTGTATAGGGGACATACCCCCCAAAAAAGTGTCTAAAATCCAAAAACTACTCGGATTTCGATTCCTTACGGATCTACTGCTGAACAGTATATAAAAAAAAATCCAGATAAAAGTGTTATTATTAGGAAACATAAGGCACGTTTTGTCTATTTCGGGCGATGTAGGGTCCAGGGGAGGGAGAGTAAATATTTGCTTTAAATGCCCGCTCCCTGGATCCGCCAGTGGACGATGTAACGCTTTTCGTATTGCTGTATTAGAAAAAAAAGCTCCAATGGGAAAAGTTGTGCCATAACCCGATCGCATATTAGATGTTGAAGAACGGTTCCAAACCTTTTGAAGTAGGCAAGCGCTATTCTTCAATGAGGTAACTCGTTACCATTTCCTCTGTTCATTTTACGTTCGATTTCTGTTTAACCTTCCTTTAAAAAGTATTTCTGAGACAGATATCAACTGAAACTAGCTCACAGCGGGAGGAGACCGCTCAAACATTCAGACAGTCGGTCGCATCTAAACCTGTTGGGACAGCGATCCGCCAGAAATCCTCCACAAGGCAGTAGTTTGCCAACTAAGGTCACCGAGACGGGCTGTCTCGATGTGTTTATACAGTTAGCCTACAGCGAGGGCCCAGACGCTCGTCAAGCTGGGAACGGAGGGCTGAGGTGAGGGAGCGCGGCAGTGGGCTGGGGTGAAGGAACGGTGGACTGGAACGAGAATCCAGAAGCTCTGGGTAGGGCGTTTCTTTATTAGGGCTTTAGGGTGCGCTGACTGCGGTAAGGTCCAAAGTATCACATCAAATTTTGCCACGACATCTACCGGTTCAGGCACTCGAGAATCAGCGGCCAGTGATATCTGCAAAGACGAAGCATTTCCAACCCAGTTTCAGCCTGGTGTCAGGGCGCCTCAGGTGGCTTTAATTACAGTTGCACATACCAAACGACCTCAGTGCAGCCAGTCTGTGGCCGAAACCATTCGGAACAGACTTCAATTCAACAAAAAGTGAGACAAGGTTAGTGCTATCGTTAAGTGCCATTATAGACTTGGGCCCCGTTGGCTTGACCCACTGGAAGGTGGTAGTTATCGGACGCTGCGGGGCATACTCATTTTTCCAAAATGCCTCAGATTTTGCTTTCGTGTTCATAGGCGGCGGAACGGGGAGGGCACCGGGGCACCGTGCCCCCCTTTGATTTTGGCATTTTAACGTTAGCCCTATATGGGCGTTGCATGGAAAGAATGGGACCAAAAGTCGGCAGTGCCCGCCCCCTTAATTGAAGGTGTTCCGCCGCTACATACTGTTCGTGTTTGATGCTCTTTATTCTATAGTCAGCCTTTAGACAGAGGGGGGCCCACTAATGATCAGTGTCCTAACCCTCAAAAGTTTCCAACATTAGTTTTTACTTTTTTAATAGTAAAAACTGAAATAAAGCAGATACTGAACTGTGAACATCCAGTTTTTACACTGGCCCCACAAAGGCCTCCGAATGCCCAAAGCAGGTCTCTGATGACTGGCCTTTGGGTGTCATGCCATACCGTGCATTGGTCAATGTCGTCAATGTGTACGACCTCGAGTCGGCGTTTACCATTTTATGCGCTGGAAACTGTTGCGCTCGAAAAAATCAGGGGAGTTGCTTATTATGAGCGCTCATCAGTCCTAACTACCCGCAAGCGAATGACTAGCCCTTCCGTCTC